GTTGAATTTTTGTAACCAGAAGATTATTAATATCTTTTCTTCTTTTTTTCTTTGTAAAAAGGGGCAGATATTATAAGATTTTTTTCTTCGTTCTGCTGCCTTTCATTTTATTTTGTGATATAAGTTTTGTATTTTCTGTAATGTAAACTTTTTTTGTTTTTAATGAAATGAATAAATGAATAGAATAAAATAAAAAAATATTCCTAAACATTTCATAGGTGCAGCTGCAGGAATTGCTCGCAATATTTGCATTTCTTCAAAAATGGACTCTAAGCAGCACACTGAGATCCTGATATTGTGCTTCAGCTGCCTGATTAAGATAGTAGACATTTAATCAGGATGTTGTCAATATTGTCCCAATAACAAGTGGTAAGAACGGAAGGGGGCACTTCTAATTTACTTCAGTTTAATGAGGAAGTGGACCCTCTGCTGGGGAAACTGTGATGTGTGAARGGGTAATGCTAAACCTTTTAGTTTAGTTTTAGTTTCTAAAATTCACGATCAGCTTTTTCGAATTGGTAGCATATTGTTGTATCCAAGCCAGTTCCCTTACTGTTCCACCCCATTTATATATCATCACTAGCAAACATAATGAGTTTATTTGTGCCATATGTGTGAGCAGAGTACAGAATCAAACAACAGAGGACCAAGCACATATCCTTGAGGAATTCCTGTTTTCTTTTTGACAGGAAATCTGAAGGTCTATTATTGAGGATTTCATTCAGGTGGATCATCCWAAATCTTTCAGCTTAGTGGTGTGAGTTAGCAAGATTGATTTCCTGTGATCTTCTTTCTTGTAGCTGTAAAAAGCATTTCTCTGATTGCCTTTTTGTTGTACAAATAATGCTGTAGATAGAGTAAATGATACAAATAATTTCTCTGAAACCAGCTCCAGCACTTAAATGCACTAAGAGAACAATAAAATCAGAGAAGCATCTTGAAATTTAAGGTGAGGCAATGAGCACCGCTTGATAATGACAACATACTGTACCATGAATGACAAATCTTAACCTGGCTCATCAGTGCTCAGACAACTTTGGCATGGTATTTATTGGTTACTATCCCTTGCCTTTCTGAGTTTAAAGTCCTTGTTCTGTTTTTGACTCTGTGTTTCTGTTGGTTATCAGATGCCAAGATGCAGGAGTTTGACCAGGACTTCCTTATTCCTGACTTGTTACCAGGTATGYGCCGCTAAATCTTTAAAAAATTCCAAATAGTTTACTGTGAAGTTGGGAAACACAGCTATGCCATAAATGCCTTAAATGTCTTACCACATAAAAGTAGTAACATTACATGATGATGTTTACTTTTGTGTGTTTCAGAGGATTTAAGTGAATTGTTGAATGATGAATGCTTCGGTAAGTTGCAGCTAAATATCTGGAGGAATGTGTACCATGAATTGACTCTCCTAACTGTTAAATAAAATTTGGATTTCTAAACCTAGCTAAGTTTTTTTCTGTCTAAACTCAACTAAGAGGATGTTTTACATAAAACGTGCACAAATGAGTGTAATCCCTTCTTTGGCACTCATTTAAATCTAGATGAGATCTGCAAGTATGGTTGTTTTGAAGACTTCCTCAGCGATTGTAAGAAACTCCTCTTGTTAGTAAAACATTTTTATTTCTAGTTTTTCTGTCTGCCAGATGCTTAACTGACTTCCTCTTCTGTGCACCACAGGTGAGACTCCCACGCTACTCAAGGTCCCTGATTTACCCATCCCCGCTTCACCCATCCCCCACCGTGAGCCTCAGACGATCAAACAACCAAAGAATAAGAGAAAAAGACCGAGAGGTATAAACCTAGCTCTGTAAAAGACTTTACAGTCTGAACGTACTGCTCGATTCAAGAAATTAATCCATTGTGTTGAATTGTTTACAAAGGATTTTTGTCTTCTCCAGTTTCTCACCTCACCAAAAAGAATCCCACCGCAAAAAGAGCAAAAGTAACAGGTAACTAATTAGCACATTATTAAAAATGTTATATTTACATTCYTTTTTAAAGGGATGTTCTGTCAGGTAAATGTAATTACCTTAGTAGTTGTGTTATCAATCAATCATAAAAAACAAAAGATAAAGGTGTCCCATCATATCAAACTGAGGGTTAGGTCTCAAAGTAGTATAAAATAGGCCACTTTAGTGCTTTGGTTAAAATGTTATTGCATTTTGTGAAAATTTAATAAATAAATATATTTTTTGCAGGTCATTTAAACAAAATTTCTGAAATGATGTCTTAAAGGGGACCTATTATGCAAAATTCACTTTTTAAAGCTTTTTTTTTTTTACTCAACTTTGGG